TTCATGTTTTAAGATAACCTTTCATTAATCATGAATTTACATAACTTCTGTCCAGAGTACCTGATTAGTGGCAATCACCTACTTTTAATTAAAAAACAACAACAAAAACTCCTTTTAAAGAAAGAAATATCATTCGTCATAGCGGTAGGATTGAAAACATGTTATTCTATGGTTTCTCATTCAACTGTACTGTATTTTATTGGGCTGAATAGAAAGAACGGTGATTATAAGCTTCCTAGTAGTTGACTGTAAAATTCCTCACTTTGACATTTCACGCCATTGGTTTTATGAGAAAAAGACGCGTGGGAAACAGTCGATGATCGTTTCCTGGCAATACTTTCCTATAAAGTGAGGACGTTATTCACCATAATGAACCTGTAGAATTTCGCCAGTCTTAGTAATTAGGTGAATTTTCTCTAGAAATTAGCAACTTCAATTGGTTCTTTTTAAAGCTCTCAGAAGAGAAGTACAGTTTCTGACTGAGGTGATTTAATTCTCGTTTTCTCGTATTTAAACTTTTATTGTAGAACTGATCAAAATAATTACTGTAGTTTCCTGAAACATCCCGTATTTTACATTGATCATTATAAGATCACTTAACGCAGAGTACTAGTTTAATTATTTGTAGTTGGAGTGTAATTTAGTTTTTAGTGATAAACGTCAAATAAAGAGTTTAAAAGTTAAAAATAAGTTTCTTCGTGAATAGAAAAATTAGCCTCATCATCAAACCTATCTTTGTTGTTGTTGGTTTTAAAAAAAGTTCCTCTCTTTAAGTATAAATTGAAAAACACAACACGTGGAACCAAATAGATTTGATTTTCTTGGATGAACTCGCTTTCGCCGAGAGAATCAAACAATGGCCGATATTCTTTGCCATTCGAAACGTTCTTATAGTTAAGATACAATCTTTATTTCGTATATTTTGAAATAATCATTTTGGCCAGTGATTCTAGCTTGCATGTACGCTCTCAATATCGAATTATTTTTCAACTACAAAAATAAAATTAAAAGCTTTTGTAAAGCACCAAATAATTATACACTTTCAAGCACACCACGTGTTTAAGTTCAGAAGATTACAGCCAATAAGAGTAAGCTACTGAGATTGAATTCTGTGGTAATTTGATGCTAGTTTACATCGTCATGTCTTATATGATACTTGTATTTTATATATCGAGCTCTCCTGTCGCCCCCACCCTCTTCCCAGTGGCTCAGGGGTAAACTTGAGGATGTTAATGCTACAACTGTAACTTCTTCTTTGGGTACAACACAGATAGCCATTGTGCAGCCTTGCTCTTAAATGAAAAAAACCAAAACAAAAAGAGTTTTAAATCCAATTTATTTGCGTAAACGATACAGATTGATAGAAGAAAAATTGCTTTAAGAAATAATTACTGCTTCCTTGAAATGAATTCCATATTTAATGTATTACCAGTTTCAAATGCCCAGCACAACCAAAGACGTTGATAAAACAAAATAGAAAAATATGTTACTAATGTTGCTTATAGAAGAATACATTCAAGATTAGGTTACTATAACCATAACGATATATTACATCAAGAGTTTTGCGTTTTCCTTAACAATAATGGTTTTAATCATTGTATTGTGGAGATTGGAGCGAATTATTCTTTATTCATATTTATATCATTCTGTTGTTGTTCTTTTTCTACAAATTAGCCAATTTGTAATTCTATTATTTACTCCTACACACACACACATATATATATATGGGGTTACGTTTATAAATTCTGATAGCCTACCAAAATGAGATCGGGCTGCGAGGGCTGCATCAAGAATAAATGCAGCTTTTTCCGCCGTGGGGGCACGAATCTCGCTTTGGTTCATCAAGTGTGTTCCATAGACAGGGTCGTCCTTCAGAAGTAGACCGGGTGAAGATCCAGTAACATCAGTACCTGAAATAGGTAGGAAAATGTTTGTGTGTGTATACAATGAATATATATAGAAAAGGTTTCGTTATACTATTCACGTGACCATTATGAGCGTGTGGGATGCCAACTTTAGAAGAAAACTTTTACTCATCGCTCCGAGTAACTGGTCCTAGTAACTTCTCTTAATATCTATTTATATATATATATATATTAATTTTTATAATACTGTTTCATTAGGAGTTACGGCTACAACGTTCCACAACTGGCTGCGAACGGTAAATGTTATTTACAGTTGTGGAACGTTGTGACCTAGAGCACCCATACCTGCTATTTACAGTTGTGGAACGTTGTGACCTTGAGCACCCATATCTGCTATTTACAGTTGTGGAACGTTGTAGCAGATATGGGTGCTCAAGGTTACAACGTTCCACAACTGTAAATAGTAGATATGGGTGCTCAAGGTCACAACGTTCCACAACTGTAAATAGCAGATATGGGTGCTCAAGGTCCCTACTCTTTTCACTTTATTTAGCTTTTATTTCTTCTTCCTCTGTTGCTTGCGAATAAAAGGTTAAATCTGATAGAGGGTGTATCCCTACTGCTTCGTGGAGCCTATCATGTTAATACTTCTTTTATTAATAAATCGAACTCTTTCTTCCTGTGCCTGTCTTTTACTATCAATGCTTTTTTTTACGTTTTGATCAGGCCTTATTATTAAATATCATTTATCATTATAAGTATATTAATATGAAATATCATGAAGGGTAAGGAGATACGCTTTCTTGCCTTTACGTCTTAAAAGTAACATAACTGTTATGTTGTCTTTATATAGGGCATCTTCTGAAGCCATTTCACAAAACGACCGACACTAAATCCTAGTCGTTTCATCTAAATTTCTAGTGAAGTAACAAAATTATTTGTTTCACAATATGCCTGTAACACACACACACAGACATATATATATATATTCACACAAACACACACACACAAAGTTTTCATAATTGATTACAATAATAAGTTGTCCAATCTTTTGCAGATGCTTAAGTAGACACATATTTCGTTCAACCTGGCGACATATTTCCATTCGTCACATGCCAAATATCGTTAATACAGATTTCGACAATGGTCTTTCCTTGGGCTAGGTGGTTAATGCAGATTTCGACAATGGTCTTCCATTGGGCTAGGTGGTTAATGCAGATTTCGACAATGGTCTTCCGTTGGGCTAGGTGGTTAATGCAGATTTCGACAATGGTCTTCCGTTGGGCTAGGTGGTTAATACTGATTTCGACAATGGTCTTCCGTTGGGCTAGGTGGTTAATACTGATTTCGACAATTGGTCTTCCGTTGGACTAGGTGGTTAATACAGATTTAGACAATGGTCTTCCGTTGGGCTAGGTGGTTAATACAGATTTCGACAGTGGTCTTCCGTTGGGCTAGGTGGTTTGGGATACGCTTGTGCACAGGTGCTCTTGTGTCGTTGTTGTTGACTTAAAACCGTTTGAATTATTTTATGTTCAAATAATAGTGGAAGTTTCTAATTCAGCTACAATGGACCACCGTATTTGTAGATGACTTACCATGACAACCATTTTAATTTTCTTCCGGTTAGCCCATTTTTTTTTCCTTGCCTGGAATCATCCATTCCCTTGCTTGTGTTTATAATCGCGGAATAAAAAATACAAAACGTCCTGAAATGTAACCATCTCAGAAGTGGATAACATTAAGCACCGTCTACACTTGCAAATCACCACATTTTAACTGAATTGTAACAAGAAAGTCTACGGTTTTAACCTCTTATGTAACCATCTCAGAAGTAGATAGCATTAAGCACCGTCTACACTTGCAAATCACCATATTTTAAAATGTGGTGATTTGCAAGTGTAGACGGTGCTTAATGTTATCCACTTCTGAGATGGTTACATAAGAGGTTAAAACCCTAGACTTTCTTGTTACAATTCAGTTAAAATGTGGTGATTTGCAAGTGTAGACGGTGCTTAATGTTATCCACTTCTGAGATGGTTACATAAGAGGTTAAAACCCTAGACTTTCTTGTTACAATTCAGTTAACTGAATTGTAACAAGAAAGTCTAGGGTTTTAACCTCTTATAGCCACAGCGTACGAGGATGGCAGCAGTGTGATTGGATATACAAATTGTTACCACAGATCGTATATAACCCCATTATAGTCATCAACTACCCGCCCTGCTCAACTTACTAACTGCACTTATACTAAAGGGGTACTCGGAATAGTATGTCATAATTACAATTCAATTCGTACTTTTTTTAAATAAGTAAACTATAACCTAAAACATTATAAAATAAATAGAATATCTTAAAGACAGTGTAAAAAGGGTTCATCTTAATTTATAACAGAAATTCCATAAGTAAACTGTAATAACTTACCAACAGCAAAATCACAAAGTAAATCTCTAATTTTTTCATTTTTTCCTGTTATTTCAACTGCTGAAGCACGGACAGAAAATCTGGCCCCAGTTTTTTCTTTCTGCTCTGATATCAGCTTAAAAAGCCAAGAAATTGCACAGGGCGTGGCTCCGAGGTCTTGAACTGAAGAACTTTCTCCGATCATAGTGTAGGTTTTACCTGTGTGTAGAATCAGTCCGTTACCATATCAGTATCAAACAACAAGATGATAAAAACACTATAACCCGAGCGCTTTCGAAAGGTGGACATTTCTTCTTCAGTTTGCCCGGCATGGCCTGGTGGTTAGGGCACTCGACTCGCAATTTGAGGGTCGCGGGTTCGAATCCCTATCACACCAAACATGCTCACCCTTTCAGACGTGTGGGCGTTATAATGCGACGGTCAATCCCACTATTCGTTGATAAAAGAGTAGCCCAAGAGTT